CTCTCTCTCTGTACGTATGTTTGTGTGCTGGTCCTGTGGCTTGAACTCTGGGCCTGGCACTGTTCTGAGCTTTTGTGCTCAAGCTCAAGGTTAGCACTCTAACACCTCTGAGCCACCGCTCCACTTCCAGCTTCTTGCTGGTTAATTGGAGATAAGAGTCTCATGGACTTTTCCTGCCTGGGCTGGCTTCAAATCAGAATCTTCATATCTTAGCCCCCTGAGTAGCTGGTATTACAGGCATGAGCCTCCAGTACTTGACTCCTGTCTAGGGAATTTTAAAGTCAGATTACATGTTTGTCATTTCTCCAAATTCTCCACTATTCTGTCATGAAAATTACATTCACCCTGGCTAAACCTACATGCTCAACTCCTACTACAGAAAACAAAAAAAGAAATCTTCTGAGAAGATCATGACAGTCTCAGGATTAGAATAGCTTTTAGAACTTAAAAAAATTCAGTTGATGCACTAATGCGGACAGGTAGAAACACTAAGACTGGAATGGTTGGTAGGTTCCCACACATTACCCAAGGGAAAGAGAAAAGGTAATAGATTTGACCTCCAGCTAAGAGTAATAGGTGTACTTCAGAGTGAAAGCTCAGAGAAGAAAATTCCATTCCCTGTTAAAACATTCAGTCTTCCTAGTTAATGATTTTAATCTACCTTCTTTGCAATAAAACTATTAATTTGAATAAAATTGGAACATGTTTTACTGTCTCAGTATTTGTTAGATTATATCTGAATATCACTGCTTCTGTGTTGAGATCATGTTAATACAAAACTATTTGTATTAATTTAAAAATACATGTAAAGACATAAAACTACAATATCAGAGTAAATATATGTTTTATATCACACACATTTTTATATGCTGCTTAGTAGCAAATTCATGATGGTTGGAAATGTCACTCAACTTTATCAGGTCAGAACTTAGAAAATCAAGCACTATGCTTTTCGACACTTTAACATCAGTTTGGCTGGTTCTAACTGGGCAGGAGACTACTGCATGGATATTAATTTACCTTGATTAGATTTTGGTGAGTACATAAACATACCTATTAGGTGAGTGTAACATATAAACAAATCCAGTATCTTCCCTGAAAACAACAAAGTTATATGGTGTGATTGATGTAAAAAGGAAAGAATTCGCAATTTTGGATAACATAAGGTTTTATATTACTTTATAGCATTCAAGGATTTGAATGTTTATGACTAATATTGCATATAGGATTTCTAGGCAAGTAGTATTTTCTCATATTAGATATTGAATGAATAAACCTTATTTAATATAACTTTTTATTGTATGAAGTTCCACCATACTTCTCTTTCCCTTTCCAATTTCTCTTTCCCTTCTCCAATTTCATAACTTGAAATTCTTTTTTCTCCCAGCGATTTTTTAAATTCTCTCTTTTCTTGACTCCCACTTAACTCTAGACTGCAAAGAAATGTGCATAGGAGCTATAATAACAATTCTGTTTGTGCTCTTATTCTCTGATTCTTTTTTGTCTAATGAATTTCACCTTCACCACACATAGTTCTTGGCTTCTAACTCAGGTTATGAAAAGAGTTTTGGAATCAGGTCAGATCTAGTTCTGTATATAGTTATTCCTCTTCCTACCAGTGGGATCTTGGAGACATCATTTAACCCTTGTGGGTTTTAGTTTCTTCAGCTCAAAATGAGAATTGAGTTAGTTTTCTCCCAAGGGTCCCATCTAGCAAAGAAGTTCCATGTATGTGAATACTACTACCCATACTTACATGTTTCTTCTCTCCCTTCAGACACTTCTGGTTCAAAATGATCTGAAAAGTTCTGTCTAAATAATATGTGAAGTGATTTGCCCAAAAGACTTCTTTCTATACATGGCCCACAGGATAGTTGCACTTTCATGATGGTGCAAAGCAGTACACATTTAGATGAACTGGATTTCAGATTTTGTTATTTTTCTGGGCTAGTAATATAAAGCAGGATATTCTTTTGTGATACTGGACTGTCAAAGTGAATCACAGTTTCCAGTCAGCCATGCAGCCTTGAATGTCAGCAACTGTACTTAACAGTGTACCGTGTTACTGAATTGTGACCTTGGTAAGCTAAGTGTATTCAGAAGCTTATGATGTTTTCATCTTATGAGAGTTCATTGACACACACCCCATTTGAGAATTTAGGAGTATCTCTCCTGTGTGAGCATATTTAACCTAGCAAAACTTAAAGGTCTTGCTGTCATAGAAGCTTGAAAATAGTTTCTGTTAGTACAGAAAATGTGGAGATTATCTACCACTTTAAATTATCTATTACTTTAGTGGCCATCTCACATTAGTTCTTACTTCTAGATACTAGGCAAATTCTAACGAGGTTTCCAATTCTCAACTATAAAATATAGCCTCCCTTTCTAATTACTTTCATTTGTTGTTATGAGGATCAAATGAGATAATGTTCTTGAAAACACTTTATACATTTTATAGTATCCTGCAAATGTGAATTTATGTAGATTCTTTCTTATTTTTATTGCTACAAAAATTCCTTAGTTCTTTACTTCAGCCTTTGTTACCTTCTTTAATCTCTTAACCTACATTTCCCTATTTTTCTTCACAGGCAACCTTTTCTTATCTCAATTCTTATCTCAAAGTTGTGGGAAAATGTCTTTCATCACATTTCTAAGACAAGGTACTGCTCTAGTGACCCCCAACGTCTCATTCATAGTAAGACTCACACAAGACACAAATGACTAGACAATATCATATACAGTAAAACCTGGATTCAAAATATATTCATCCATTTTGTCCTGATAGAAGCCTCACTATATAACTCAGCATCCCCAAAGAAACAAAACAGAACAAATAGCTAAGGCCGCTCATATCCTTTAAGAATAAAAAATTAAAAAAAATAATAAATAAAGGTTAAAAATAAAATGACTGTCTTTACTAGGATTATAACATTCCAAACTCTGAAATAACAAAGCTAGAATTTTACAGATGTCAGATTTTCAAACTAGTTTTGAGTAAATTAGATTTATTATATTTCATTTAGGTTCATTTTAAATTTACTTCATTATTTTTAAGACAAATTGCTTTTATTTTTGTTTGTTTATTTTGGGCCTTCTTACTTGGCTCAGGCTGACCTCAAACTCACTGCATAGTTCAGGCTAGTCTTAAACACTTGATCCTTTTGCCTTTACCTCCCTATTTGTGGGATTACAAGTGTATACTACCACCATGCCCAGTTATTCTGTTACTTCTGATTATTTCATATCTTGATTAGTTAGCTTCTACATCAATCTATTTATATAATAATGAGTTACACATAGGTGAAGGAGAAAGCTTATACTCCGGAGGGGGGGAATTAATTGCAAAGATAATAATAGAATGCCCTCTCATTCTATTTGTAGTAACTGTTTAAAGTGTATTTTATACCAGCATCATAAGTGTCCTAATAGGAACAATTATTTGAAAACCAGGTTAGTTCTCTTCATCCACGATAAATTATAACTAAGCTTTTTGAGAGCCAGAACACTTGACAAGTTAATATGCTGGGAACACAATATAAAAATGTAATTATACTTGTGATTTGGTATATTGCAAAATATGACCTTATTCACTTTTCTGGCTAAATATTTCTACTCAATTTCTTTAATAGGCTGTAGAAATAAAGACAGAATTTGAGATAACATTCGAGTTTGGTAAAGCAGAAATAAGGAAAGCAACAGCTTTTTCACAAATCTGAGAATACAAAATGGATTCATCCTCAAAGTTGTGCTTCTTTATTTTCGGACAAAGCAAACTACTCTCACTGTCAAAAGTCATTGCCAAAAGATATAGATAAGTGCTTTATCAACTATGCTGTGATCCTAGCTACACAGGAGGCTGCGATCTGAGACTGTGGTTTGAAGCCTGGGCAGGAATCTGTGAGACTCTTATCTCCAATTAATCACACACACACACACACACACACACACACACACACACACACACACACATATTCCAGAAGAGAAGCTATGGCTCTACTGGCAGAGTTTTAGCTAGACTTGATCAAGTAAAAGCTCAGGATCAACATCCAGGTCTTGAGTTCAAGCCCCAGGAATGGTACACACACACACACACACACACACACACACACACACACACACACTAAGATCTGATTATAGCTTTAATGTTTACAGATTCCAAAGAGGAGCTTGAAGGACTTAAAAGAAATATGTGCGTATAACAGATCATAAAATATTCACTCACGTTCATCAAACTCTTATGTTTTTACTAAGGCTGTGGGTCAATCCGAAGTAGAATTTCAGAAACCAGAATGAAGCTTTATGCTATGAAATCATCACGGGGACTACAAATATTCATTTATTTATTTTTGTCAGCTGTAGGGTTTGAACTCATTACCAGGGCACTGTTCCTGAGCTCTTTTTGCTTAAGACTAGCACTCTACCACCTTGAGCCACCACTTCCGTTTTTCTGATGGTTTATTGGAAATAAGAGTCTTGTGGATTTTCTTGCCCAGACTGTCCTTGAATCACAACTGTCAGATCTTAACCTCCGGAGTAACTAGGACTACAGGCATGAGCGACCAGCGCCTGACAAATATTTAGTTTTTAATTTTAACAAAAAGATCACATTGTTAAACAGTCACAAATACTAATAAATCAAGTATGTAGAGGCCTTTTGGAGCAAAGGAGGGGGGGTGCAAGGTATGGGTGCTCACCCCAGAGTTGGGACTTGTTTGTCTAACAGAAGCAGTGCCAGCAAACAGCTGCATGACAAAAGACAGGGTCAAGTGCTTTTCATTCTCCAAGCCTCAGTTACATAATACATATTAAGTGTAAGCTTCAAATTAGGCACACTCACATGTTCCTTTCTAGGTATTGTTTGACTTGATAATTTTGAGCAGAAGATATATTACTTTGGTTAAATAGGCTTTGTTTCCCATATCATGCTTGATTTGGATGCAACTTCAACATTGAAGCTAATTTATTCATTTTTAAGTGGGAAAAACACACCAGTTCCTTACCTCTACAATTCCTATTTTTCCATCATCTCTCTGCCCATAATGTTCCACAAAAGTTTTCATCTCAGGTGATAATTCCTAAAATTATATAAAAGCAGGTAAGAAGTTCGCAAATCAAAAACAATCATCTATACTTGGTGTTAATAAATTATTGGAAAGAAAAAAACACAATTGGAGCCACATAGAATTATTCACATTGGCGAAACTTGTCAAGAAAATGACAGATATAAATACTACAGAGTATGTATTGGATTTTGTAATTATGATGATCGTTTTAGAGTCAATCACTGTGATTTATCATCTGTTATTACTTTTGAGAGTGAGCTGCTCTTTGCAAATGCAGTCAGAATTATTCAATTCACAATCGAGTGAATTTAAATGCAACAATGGCTATTACTATAATTTAAACACTTTTTATCACTAGAGATTGGTTTGTATTTCCATAAGTACTCATCCTATAGCACTTTCCTATTCTAACATAATGTTTTATCCATGTAAAGTGTGAATATGCATGTTTAGTTTGGACAAGTAAAAAACGTGAGGTTAAGTCACTTTATAAGCAAAGTGACTCCAGCACAAAACACGTGATTTTTTAATTAAATAAATTAGTTATTAGGGGAAATATGAGCTTAAAAAAGATGATCAAATTTTACTTTGGCCAAGAGACATATGATACTGATGACCTTCTTTTTGGAACTAATTATATGCTTATAATAGCTGCCTTTATCTGGAATGTAGGGAGTGATTTACTGAGCTGACTTATTATGATTTTGGTATAATAAAATATGCCTCAGAGTGACAGAGCAAATACTCCCTTCTCCTTTGGTCCACCCTCTCAGAAGGTCCTATTACAATTATAATATTTTTACATATTGACAAATTAGAGAAATATGAACTATAAACTAGTAATCTGAACACAGAGCTAGTCATCAGGAAGTTCAATTTTTTTACCCTTGAATCTCAAACAAAGCCCATTTAAAATACCCTTGTTACATTCACTGAAGTTCATTTAAAATAGACCAGCCTTTACTAATATCCCAGTCTATGTTCGTGGGATAGGAAATTAAAGTCTCAATTTTCATTGCCCCTAACTGGATGGTGGTTATCTACCATGCAAGTTTGCTGTAGGTATTGAGAGGTTAATATAATTTAAGGATATATTGAGGCTAAATTTCACAAATTACAAAATCCTTTTTAAATTAATGTAAATATCTTTAATGGCTCTAAGGTAACATTAAGAAAACAATTTAATTATATTGTAATCTTTACATGATTCTTTTATGTGGCTAAGAAGCAATTTGCATTATTTAATTTTATTACAGGAACCATCATAGAAAATGAAAATATCACGCTTGGCAACTGTAGGATTATCAGTCCTCAAGCTTTTATACCTACTTTAAGCAAACACCAAAGCATTCATCTCAAATCTTAAAACTGTTTAATAGAAGTAACAAACTAACACACTTGATACTTAGTTTGTCACATTTCTGAGGAACAATTGTGTCAAACATGCTTTTAAACAGTGCAAAACATGCAATCAATTAAGAATTTATAAAAAAAATGGAAATTTAAAAACTAGACACTATGTTTAGAGCAAAAGAGTTGTAGTTTCAGAAATTTATTGAGTTGTCATTATGTTACTGATGGTATATTCACTTGGTGATGATTTTAATGTTCTCATTATTAATATGGTAAACAAACACATGTCTCCTTCAATGCACTGAAATCTGTAATAATACAACAAGAAACGATAAAACATTTGGCTTATATGGCTAACATTTGTGTTTTTTTAAAGAGAAGAAATACATAGATATAGGATTACTCTTGAGAGCATAGTGAAACATGTGTCTAGTAATATGAACATCTCAATCCAGAACTTAATTTAGATTTATATTATCCAGTGCCAATTTATGCAATCCAGAAAAATACCTCAGAATCATGATCTTAAGTGACTTGATATAACACGGTACCTCTGCTCAACTTTAGTACTATTGGGTTATAATCTAATAACTAGTTCTTCATCTATTTCAAAGCTGGATCCAATGCTATAGGGGAAAAATTAAAACCTAACCTCTTGGTTGTTTACAAAGAGATGAGGATGAGGAAAATCAAAATTTGAAAAATGTATGCAGTTCATAAACATTTCTAAAATGAAAACAAATCTCAATATTAAAGTTGCCGCAGGGGAAATTTAAATATAATCATTTAGCTTCTGGAAGTATCTTTCAAGGTTTTCATTCTGAATTTTATAGAAGGTACAACTTTCCCAAGCAGAATTCTTAAAATACACATTCTCAAATAGAGAAGAAAACTGCTTTTGGTTTTACTAGCCCAAAGTCCATAGAGCTATGATAGCCCTCCATGAATTCATTCATGTGATAATGCATAAAGTGGCAGGACAGTAGAGCCTATAGTTATTTTTATTTGATCCCATTTTATTATGCATCTAGATTTATATTACATTAAATCTGGGTAGAAAGAATCCCTAGTGTATGACCTGGCTTAAAATCAATTTGTTCAAATGATTTTAGCCACTGATAGTTCTGTAATGCATTGTAGTACATTTAGAACCCTCTGGGGTTCTTTTGAATATGTTATGTAAAGATGTAAACTATGCAAGTTTCAATTTATATAGAACAAAATATAATTCTATTACTTCATTGTACATCTATTTTATTTTATCACTCAGTACTAGAGATAGTATTTGCTATATTTATATGTGTATATATGTATATTTAGCATCTGTAATATAAAAATTTCTTTCTAATTACAGTCCAAAAGGCTCATAGCTGTTAGCATCCAACTAGCCGAAATCCAGCATTGACTTCTGAAAGCCAGACTTACATAAGCCCCATTAGGTGGGTAAAATTGTTAATCTACTTTCTTCTATACAGCAATTTCAGCTGTTTAAAAGCTGAGTGTATTTATTTTACTTTTTATGCTGACATCATTCCTTGACATTTATTGTCAAAGAATAAAATTTATAATTAATATGAATTGTCATTCACTTAATTAACTAGTGTCTTAAACCACAAGTGGAACTTATTTCTTGAAATCATTAGTTGCTTTCCAGCAGAGTTTTCCATCAGAATTTCTCTGTTTTTCTACAATTCGTTTCTGGTTTTTTTTTTTTATATAAAATTCTTTTTCTTCTCTGACTTTCAGGTGTTTCCCCTTCAACAAAATGAGAACGTTTTCTTGCAAAATTCTTGCTCGTTATGATGTTATACATTGACCACCTTTCCCAGGTGAGGAGGGTAAAGACAGGATATTTTCTCATCCCCTCCCCACCCCTCAGCTACATCAACATCACAACATCTCTGGCAAGAAATCCATAATCTGCAGATCCGTTTCCTGACCACCAAGGGGCAGAGATGTATTTCTACCCCTTACTTCTGTAAGCAGTAAATGGGAAGTTAAATCTTCCCTAAGCAACCCAGTGGTAGAGGTGGTGATGTGCTAAGCGTCTCATGTTATCCACACTTTCCTTTTAAGACCTATTAAAGCAAGGACAAGTGTAGAAAATGTGTTTATTTTAAAGTCTGTTTAGAAATTGTAAGGTTTTTATTTTTTTTCCCCTTTAGGAAATTTCATTCTCTTTTCTCTTACTCTCCTCCCTACAGGTCTCTCTCTCTTTCTCTCTCTCTCTCTCTCTCTCACACACACACACACATACTCTCTATCTTTCTCTCTCTCTCTCTCTCCCCCTCTCTCTCGTCTCCCACCAACCACTCCTTGTGCAATTTGGAAAGATATTCTCTCTCAATCTACAAACCTCTACACTCCCTGTGAAAGCCCTTGGCACCCCAACTTGCTCGGCTCATCTGGCTTTTTTTTTTTTAATAAAAACCAGGAATGTGTGTGTTTTGGCCTTCATCACGTTCCCCTGTGACGAAGTTGAACCTACCAATCCAGCCTTCTTTCGCGCTTGCAGGAGCTCCTGGATCAAGTTCTGCAGCTCCTTTCCTTCCAGGTAACCACTTCCTGCAAAGACAAAGAGGCGCCCCGGTGTCAGATAACGCATTCCAAGTTTCTTCTCCGACCTCTTTCCCATCCCAGCTACCTTTCTGGCAACCTGGGAAGTTCTGCCTTGCCTGGACATCGATGAACCAGAAAAGGGTACAGCCGCCGCTCTCTTCCCGGGGTGTCAAACTTTAGCTGCTCCGAGGACCAAAGAGAGCAGATGGGGTGCAGCCACAGAAACTTTTGGGGACAGTCTTTCTTCCTCCGCCCCCCTCCCTTTCCTGGCTTTCTCTCCCACCATTTATCGTTCCTAGAAAGACAAAGTTTAGGGTTTGGAGGTTGCATATAAGCAATATAAACTTTCAGGCTGATGGTTCTACAAGCAGTCGGGGAATATGAGGGAGAGGGAGGGACGCGGAGGGGATAAAAGACGGGAAGGGAAGAGAATGGGGTGAGGAGGCTCAGCGGAAGGTGAGGAATGGAAAGGGGACTGGAAACCATTGGAAAGAAGATAGTCACCATCAGCGTCGAAGTGGAGCCAGATCTCGAAAAACTGTGAGGCTGTGATGAGGGATGATTGCAGGTAGGATTCTGCCATGGTACCGCGGCGGTGTGTCTGTGCGTGCGAGTGTGTGAATGAGTGTGAGTGTGTCCGTGCGGGGACCTCGGGGTGGGTGTCAGGGCTGAGCAGGAGGAGCTGGGCGGGCGCTACCGGGCGCTGTCCGCGGTGCTGCTCGGCTCCGGCGATGCTCCCGCGTTGCTCCCGCGTTCTCTCTGCACCCCGCACCCAGTTCTCAGCATTTATCCCGGCCCCAGGCCGGGCCACGCCTCCTCCTGCCTCCCATTCCCCACTCCCCGCCTCTTGCTCTCGCCAACCTTCTTCCCCTCCCTCCCAGCCTTCTCCTCGCTCAGGAAAGCTGGCTGGAGCAGGAGTTTGGCAGTCTGGGAAGCAGCAGGTGGTGGGAGATCCTTTGCTCAGAGATTGCACTTGGAAAACAGACTCATTTTTCCTCCCAGTCCCCTAGTCTAGGGAGCATCTCACCCCAGGACATTAATACAAAAAAGGACATCCTGAGAAGGGTTTGAATGACCGATGGAAGGGAAAAGCTGATCAAGAGTAAAACCACAGAAATGATGACGATGTTGGCATAGTCCAAGACAAGTGTTTGCCTAAGCAGAGTCAGGTGAAAGCTTGGTGAATACAAACTCGATTAATCCATTCAATAAATTGCTGTCCGTAATCACGCCGATGTGTGCTTGTAAAGATCATGTGAGTGTTTCTTAGTGTGGTTTTACAAACTAACTTTACCATAGATTATGGTTCCCTCACCCGCCCCCCCCAACCAAATTGAAGTGGAATTGTAATTCCAAAGCAACAGAAATAAATTATAAAACCTTAAGATGTTGCAGAAAGAAGCGATGCGAGAGACACTATTAGCTACAGCCTTAAAGTTGAGAAAGAGTAAACTAGAGCCAAGGAAACATAGGACCTGGTCCCTAGATAAATTAATGAACCAACCACACAGTTTACCAGTCTTAACATACACACTTTTTTTTTCTATCCCTGGTAGATAATTTTTTCAGAAACTGGAAGTCTCTAGAATTAAAGATAACTTACAAGTACAGGAAATCTTAAGTATCAATACAATAAAATTTGAACTTACACATACTGCTGACATGTTTAGTGTTTGATTTTCTGAGACTTTAAAATATGTGGTACAGGTATTCCAAGTTTCCGATTACAGTACTACAAAAATAAAAAGGAACAAGAGAAAATTCAAACTTGCCCAGCATAAACTTGAAGTGAATTCATTAAGCACTGTACTTTTTTTTTTTACCTTGTGTAATTGAATATGTAAACCTTTAACTGTGTTTCCAAGATTGTACATATTTCCAGTAGTGGGCTTGTAAGTCTTTTTCTGATCACTATTTTCAGAGACAGCCCTGTTTTAATCATCTAAATACAGTCCTCATTGTCATAATACTTTGCAGTTCATAAATATTTTCACTTTAGTCATCATATTTGATTTTCCCATAGTGTCTCTGAGATTAATATTACTGAAGAGATAAGCTGGAATTCAAGAAGCTAATAACTTCATGTTCTCTGATTTAAAAGGACATTCCTTAAATGTCCATTTATTTACACTTTGATTCATCCAATGGACAATTATTGACAACTATTATACAAATGCTAGAAGTATTGAAATAAAAGACAAAATCTTCACCTTCTTGAGGCTTGAACATATGGGAAATTGTAGTCACATAAACACACGTGATTGTGCAAATGTGCTCAAACTCTTTTCATGCATATACCTGTTATGCAGGTGGGAGAGTTGATGTTTAACTTAGTTAATTTATAGTTCTATATTGAAAACATTATTCCGTGGTAAGTTACAAGGGAAAAAAGGTCATGACAATGAAAGGTTAGCAGCTTGTTTAAGTCTATTCTAATTCTTGGAAAATCATTCATACAAAGGGATTGCTTGTTTACTACATTTGGGTACACAATCTTTGAATAAAAAAATATAGCATATGAAGATACATTTTGAAGAAAGAGAGGGATTTGTGTGTGTGTGTGAGAGGGGGAGGGAAGGAGAGAGGGGGGGAGATTGAGAAGCAGAGCAGAGTATAGAATGATTTTTGAAGGCGTCCTTTGACCTTTGTAATCCTGATCAGAGCTGACAATGTCTCAAAGTTTTAAGACCAAAGAAAAATTCAAAAACAAAACAAAAATAGGGTCCATGACTACATGAATTGATGAAAAAAAAACCCTAACATTTCTTTTTTTTCTTTTTTTTTTTTGAGAGTTTATATGAGTTTATTTGTATAGTTATTACAAAAGAACTTGTCACTTGTAAAAATTGTCATTTTAGTTAACCATGTAATATTCAATACGTTTTTAAAAAAAGCAAATTTTAAGCAGAAAACTAACATAAAATTGATTTTTAGCAACATTGTCATCACAAACAAACAAACAAAAAAGAATCTTCACATTATTACCAAACTATTACCAATTCATTACTGAATTACTGCATTTCATTCATTAGGCTGCCATATCTGACAACACTTAAGCTTTGGCAGAACTGTCAATTCTGTCTCAGATATACTTTAAACTAGTTACACAATTATTAAACCCAAAGCGAATTATACTTCCATAAAGATTATTGCTAAATAAAGGAATTTCCTCATGTAATAAATACCAAAATAGAGACATGAAATTTTTCTCTAATATGAAGAGAATTGTCTGCACTGACGAACACCAAGACATATTTTATATATTTCAATGGTTTGACATTTTTATAGAGTTCTCAAATAACCATTAAAGAAAAAAAAACAAATCATTTCTATTGGTCTTATGTGTTCAGTAAATACATTATTTATAAATGCAGACTGATCAGCTAATTCTAACATTAATAACAATACACTTTAACATTTACTTGGTAGCACCACACCATTTTTCCATTTATAATTACAAGAGATATATTTTGCATAATGAAAATCCATACAAATAGCAATAGCTCCACAGATTAAGTGAAGAAATTTAACTTAGAGCTTCTAGCTTATTAATTGTATCTCCACCATTTATAACAGGTTTCAGAAGAGTATTAAACTATTTTTGACTCTGAACACTTCTAAATAAAAATTGTGTTTTGATAGGTTTGTTCAGAAGTGAACTTTAGAGCACTTAAAGCTGGTCACTGGTGGCTCAGACCTGTAATCCAAGCTACTCAGAAAGCTGAGACATGAGGATCACAGTTCAAAGCGCCATCCTGGACAGCAAAGTCCCCCTAAGACGCTTATCTCCAGTTAACTACTGAAATACTGCAAGTGGTGCTGTGGCTCAAGTGGTAGAGCACTAGCGTTGAGCATAGAGGCTCAGGGACAGTGCCTAGGCCCCAAGTTAAAGCCCTGAACCATCACCAACAGCAATAACAACAACAAAAAACACTTAAAAATTGCTGTTGAATTCTTCTTGCCATCTCCTTCAAATATACACCAGCTCGACTTCCAATGTTAACATCTGAAAAACCCTAACATTTCTATTTGTTGTTGTTGTTGTTTTTCTGTTCTGGGGTCTTGAACTCTGGACCTAGACACTGCCCATTAACTCCTTATACTCAAGGCTAGCACTCCACCACTTCAGCTATAGCACTATTTTTGGATTTTTTCTGTGATGAATAAAAGATAAGAGTCACACTGGACTTCCTGCCTGGGCTGGCTTTGATCCTCGATTCTTACATCTCAGCCTCCTGAGTAGCTAGGATTACAGTTGTGAGCCAGCAACACCTGACTTTTCTATTGTTTTGGTTTTTTTTTACAAGTAATTTTCTTCCTGTAAACAACAACAATAAAAAACCTCACATGCTGTGGTAAAATTCATAAATATTTTCATCCACTCAGTACTTTTTATTTTAGAATTTCATCCTCAATTCCAAGTATTAACAGACAATGTTAAAAGGTTTATAAAGTGATATGAAAGGCATTTTTCAGAATTTCAGTTCCCCTCAGAATTTTCCTGCAGGTTAGGTTATGATTTAGGGTGAGGGTGAAGGAGCATAAGTTCTGTGGAGTTCTGGGCAAATGTTACATTTTTTTCCCCTGTTTTCTTTACCTGGAGTGATTTGGAGGAGATTGCAATTCTTCATATTGCTACTAGCCTGGGTAATCAGTATGAAAAGCCCCATTAAATTTTTTTTAAAATTTTCTTTTTTGGTACTGGTGATCAAACCAGGATGTTGCACTTACTAGGCAAGTGTTTTCCCACTGAGCTACATAGTAGCCCAAGCCCCAGGCTTTTGCAAACAAAAATATACATGTATGAATTTTGTAACTTTTTTTTGTTTTACAGAAAAGGGACTATGTTCTCTATTTTAGATTCTAATTCATTATCAATTAAAGGTTACTCCCGCAGTATTAATATCAAAATCGATTTCATATTTTTATAGTTGAATATCTTATTAACTAACTCTAATGATAGTCATTCCAGCTTTCCTTGTGTTTTGTTGTAAATGCTGCCACTCGAAACTTTATACATGTGTTTAAACTCACATGTTTTCTCATAATGAAGTCACTATTGTTGGTTCAAAGCAATGTGTACTGCAAATTTTAATGACATTACTAGTTATTCCTCCAGTTTGTAGCAAATCATACCCAAATTCACAAAGTATGACTATTATTTCCCTTTGAGGTTTGTTTTAATGTAACAAATACAGAACAAGAGGTTACCCTTCCTTTAATTCATATTTACTACTAATTATTAAAATTTATCTTTTATATTTTAAGATATAATGTCTATCCCTTAATTATAGCAGAAATGTAATTTATTAGTTCTTTCCTTTGAAACTCTTATTAGCCCCAGATTGTTCATTCAAATCAATACCTCTTTTCAGCCTTATATTTCAGATAATTTTAAGCTTAAAGTCTACTTTAGGGTTGGTACCAGTAAAGAAGTATATTTTAGATCCATAGATTTGAAGAAGGTTGAGAAATGATCCATTTTTTAATCCTCCAAATCCTTCAATTCATTAATCAAGATAGGAAAGACTTCCCAATTGTTCATGAATTCTTTGGTTTCTAGGATTCTGGGAAAAGCACAAGTGCTTTTAGTAATGAGATTTTTCCATAAGATTGGAGTTTCTAAAAACAGCAGTGCAAACAAAGTACCTTTATGACTTGGTTTATAGGCCTCAGTACCCAACATTGAGGTGACTGGGTTCATGATCTCATTTTGTCATAAAAAGTAAAAAAAAAATCTCCAGGATAATTAAACTGTA